TCTTCACTCCCGCCATCCGCCGCCACCACCATCTCCACCACCACCATCTTCACTCCCGCCATCCGCCACCACCATCACCATCAGTGACCTCTGTCTGGCATAACACCCAAGAGCCATTTGAAGCTCTGAGGAGCTGGGCAGGCTGTGGGTGGCCGGCACAGAGCCCAGGACACCATCCAAGGAGGCGTCCCCTCCCCGTCCCACACCCTTCGGTGTCCAGCCTGGGTCTTCAGTGCCCCACTTGCATGCACATGACGGGGGCTGCAGCCTGTGCCTCCACTCAGGTGGGGACCCTGGAAGTCTGTTCCCTTGGGTGTGGCAGGGCTTTGCGCTGACTGTCATTACCTCTCCACCCGGGCTTGGTGCTCTGCAGGGCCCTAAGCAAGTGGACAAGTCTGTCCAAGCCCTGCCCCGAGGTACAGTGGTGACTTTAGCAGTGCTGTGGGGCTCAGAGGCTGCAGCCACACTCTTCCTCCCCGGCCTGGGGCAGGGTATGCCCAACCCTCAGGTAACATTTGCATGCCAAAGAGCAGGATGGGGTGACACACTCCCTGCCCCGCCCCTGTCCAGCAGTGTGCAGGGGAGATGCCTGTCTGTCCTGCACTCCCGCCCACCCCTTGTACCAGCTGCCCGGTCTGTGGACCTGCATAGACCTTCAGAGCCATCCACCCTGCCGTCTGTCCCCCAGCACCCGCATGTCCAGGATCGGGCTCCAGGGAGGGGGTATGTTCGTGCCCAGCAGCATGCCAGATGGGGTTGTTGGCTCCGAGAATAGTGCTAACACTCAGTCGTGGAGGAGCCTATTGCAGCCTCTGGTAGAGCCCACACACCAGCCTCTCTCTTCTGCTTGACTCTGCTCTGTCACTCCTCATCCCCATGTGTGAGTGGACAGCCTCAGTCTCATACATTCTACCGTGTCAGGGACCACAAATTGCAAATTGACACAGTATCTGTCAGGCTCTCTTTATCCTGCCTGCCTTGGGGCCTGGTTTTGCAATACGGAATTCCAGCTTCCTATGGATCCCTGAGATTGGCATCTGGCTGTGGGTGTGGAGCTTAGCTTGCTTCCACTCTGATGTTGAACTACAACAGCCTCTACGCTGTCATAGGAGAGGGGTGCCCTCTCCCTCCTCCATTGGCTGATACAGAGGCAGCTGGCTGGGGCTTCGGGGCCTTGGGTGCCTAGAGAGCACCTTCCGATGGTCCCAGATCCTGGCTGCGCTCCCCACTGCTCTGTCCCCTGCTCCTTTTTCCTTTGCCTCTGTGCACTGTAACCCAGATAGGATATTGTAACCCACTGCAGGGGTCTCTAACATTTGTCACCAGGGAAAGGACCTCTAATGCTGGTGAAACAGGGACCATGTGTGTCCCATTTCTGCACAAGTGCACCTAGGAAGGAGTTTGCATGGCTGAGCTCAAATGCCAGCACTGAGGCTGGCTGGCAGGTCACTTCACTGCTCTGAGCTCTGATATTTGCCTCTCCAATGCAGAGGATGGCAGCCCCTGGTGACACTGTTACAGAAATTTAATAATTTTCCATCCACACTGGAGGCCCCCAGGCAGGGCCCTTGGTGACGCCTGCCCCTGCTCGCCAACTCTACCCCTTTCTGTCAGCAAATCTTCAAAGAGCAAAGAGATTAAAAATAAGCCATTTCTCAAGTACACGTGTTTCTCAAATACATGTTTTTAAATTTCCAGCGCCACAGGGTGTGGTATCAGCCGTCACTGCCCCTTCCCACCGGGGTCCCCCTCTCCCCGCTAGACAGCCCGTTTTCGACACTGTGCACATCTGGCGAGGGAGTTTTCTCAAAGTGCTCTAGATGACGCTGACTTCCTTTCCTTCCATATGGATGTGGAGAATCAGTTTTTCCATTCATATCCCCATCCCCGGGGCCCTGAGCAGGCTTGTGCCCCATCTGTGTCCAGTGTTATGCAAGGACTAGAAAGAGAAGCTCTGGCTTCTGTGGAAAGCCCAGGTCTTCTCCACTTGGCTACCATGTTCCAAGACGTGGTAGACTGGACGGGGGCTCTAAGGATGCTAGGACTCAAATGCCCCACCTTTGTCCCTGGGGCTGGGAGGCCTGTGACAAGAGTGTGTAGGTGGCCTGTGTGTGCTGACAGAGCAGAGTAATTGCTCTCCCAGCGCCTCCCATCCAGTCACTATGTGGGTCCCCGTGGACTCTCAGCTCCTCTCTACACTGTGGGTCTCCCCTGGCAGAGCCTCAGCTTTGTCCCCTAGCTGTCCTCAGCCCTGTCTGCTCTGGGGAGGTGATAGGGCTCTGGCACACCTACACCATTGCAAATTTCTCCTCCCCTGATGCTGGCTCCTGCTCCAGCAACCCTAAGGGGCTCACCTCTTCCTCATGCATGCCTAGCCCTCACATACACTGTGGCCTGCGGGCCTGTCCCTGAGGAAAAGCACAGCTGTCTCAGAGTGTGGGACACAAGTAGCTCCAGGATGGGCCTCCCTGGTAACCCTTTGAAAAGCGGGAAGGATTGCCATCAAAGACCCCAGGAGAGCCTGCTGCTCACACCCTACCAGGCTTTGGCAGGGCCCTTCTGGCTCCTGGCCACATTTCCTCCCTCTGTGAAGGAGCCGAAGTCCCTTCCGTAGGGTGCTTGAATACTGGCTCTCAGCAGGCCCCACAAAAGGGCAGGAGGAGCGGAGTGCAGCTGGACACTCTCCGTGCAGTGGGCCACAACAGCACTCAGATGCTTGTCTTCCAACCACCACCCACCGTAGGGCAACTCTCAGCCTCAGCTGCATGGTAGCTAGACCCAGAATCCCTGAGCCTGAGCCTGCAGGGGCAAGGAGCTCAGCGAGCCTCAGCTTCCCATCCCTGAGCTGGCACACTGATCCCCGAGGAAGCTGCTGGCGCTAAGCAGAAGCAGCAGCTCTCTTGTCATCACCCTCCGGCCCTGATGGCAGACTCTGTGCCCGGACTGGGCAAGGGTCTTGCATTCGCAGCTACCCAGCTGCCCACTGCTGCCTGCCCTGCAGGCTCACCTCTGCCCTGTGCCCACACCACTTGCAGGTTGGGTTTATGCTGCCACGTGTCCTGCTCCCTGGCTCCCCCCCGCTCCGGGCAGTGCAGACCTCTGTCCCTCCCCTGCCCACGTCCTTGGACACAGGTGGGAGGGCCCCTTGTGCCATCCTCCGGGAAGCTCTGCCTGAGCACACGGGAGCCTCCTGGCATCAGAGCGGGCCCTCAGTGCTCTTCCACCATGGACTGCAGCCCTGGGCAGCAGGGGTGAGAGTGTTCACTCACAGGAGCAGTTTTGGTGAAAGCTGACACTCTCTTTACCAACTTCCCCTGGCATTTCCTGTAGTATCTCCAGGGCAACAAGTCTCAGCGTTTCCAACGTGGAGTTTCTAGGAGCCCCTACCAATGGCCACTCTTGGTGCTGTTCTGGCAGGGCCCATGACCAAGCCAAGATCACTCAGCGGTGTGGCCACACCGCTGCCCCCAGCCAGCCAGCAGCCCTTCTGTTTGATTTCAGTGGAACCCAGAGAAATGCAGGACCTGTTGGGCTTGTCCCAGACCCCTCCTCCTCCCAGCCAGGCTGGCTGACCCTGGAGCCCTGCTCCAGCAGCAGCCTGCAATCAGACATCCTTCCCACCCTTCTCCTGCCTGCTGTCCCTGGCCCCGAGGCAGGCAGAGGGAAGGGAGCATGGGGCTCTGGGCCCCTCCAGCTGGGACTCACCGTGGCCAGCACGCTGCCCGCGGAGGCTGCTGTCACTGCTGCCAGCGCCCAGGAGAGGAACCACCGCATGCCTGGGAGTCGGTGGCACAGGCATCCACTGGGGAGAGCGGAGGAGCTGGCTGCCTCTCGGGGGAGCTGGGCCCACACTAGCCTGGCCCATCGGGAGCCACAGATATTCCTCCTCCGCAGCCCTGAGGGGTTTTGTTAAAGGAGATCTGACGTCAGAGAGAAGGACAAACCCTGCATTTTCCTCTGAAAAAGTTTTCCTGCCTCCTCTCTTTTTTTTCCCTTTCTTCCCTGGTCCCCACCTCCAGCTTGGCCACAGCCCCGTGCTGACAGCTCTTAAAGGGAAAGCTACAAGGCTAGGGTTTCACACGGGCTGAGATTAGGCAAAGCAGGCTCCGGACAGTGTGGAAGGGACAGGCAAGCAGTTCAGGTGTGCTGGCAAAGCGCTGAGGCTGTCACAGAGCTCCCCCGGACACGCCCACCCCCTGTGTGTCCGAGCTCTCCTACTTCCATCCTGGCTCCCCTCTCTCAGCTGCAGGGAGAAGAAGGGCCTTGGGCCCCTGAGAAATGAAAGGAATTCACAAAAGAACAGCCGCCCCAGGAGCAAATGTCACCACCACCATACCAGCACTGGCAGCTCCCAGAATGGTCCCCCGCCCTGCTACCCCATGCAGAGCCTCAGTACTGTGGCTCTGGGAACTTGTGGTCCCTGAGGGCCTCCTGCTTGAGGGGCTGGGGTGGGTGGGTGAGGAGCCTTCTCCTCCAGCCTCCTGGCCCAGCTGCCTCCCTCTACCCTCTCCTGCTCAAATCTCAGAGCCACCAGCACAACCAGAGCCTGCATCAGGGCAGGCACACACACTGCTGGGCACAACATTCCAAGCCCTCCAGCTGCTCTGCATGTGGAATCCAACCGTGGTCTGTCCCTGTGGCCAGGCCCCTCCACCATACTCACTCACTTGCCCCTCAGGACAGTGTGCTGCTGGGACACCTCGAGCCAGCCCTCTCACACCCGAGCCCTGGCAGGGCTCCCTTTTCTGGTAACTTATTAACAGGGGGATGTGTACTGTGGGTCTGTGAGCTCTACACCCAGATGCTGCCCACAAGAGCTGGTTCTCATGGTTTTCCCATTTGTTGACCAGTGGTGGGTCTCTAACCCGACCCTAGCCAATGATACACATAAAGGGAAACTTATAAGGAGTGTTAAAGATTTTCTTCCTCAAGAAAGGTAAAAACAACTCTACCAACTTATTCTTTCCTATGATGTGACAGGGATGGCTGGAGCTGCAGCAGCCATTCTGGTGGAAGGGGCACAAGCGTGAGACCAAAACACCAACATCCTAAGGGTGTCGGGGCAGAAGAAGTAGAAAGACCCAGGTTCTTGGCACTCTGTGTCCTTTATGTCGTTAGTGAGCCAAGCCCAGAAACAACACTCCCACCCAGGCTTCTCATCATAGAAAAGAATCTAATTACTTATTTCCTAAGCCATACTTAGAAAGTTAGTTTTTCTGTTCTTTGAAGTCAAATTCATACTTATCTATAGATAAGGATTTACTGAGCTGGTGCAGGCGAAGTGGCAGGCAGAGGCGTGGGAGCCATAGAGAGGGTGGGTGAAAGCAGTCCTCAGTTTCTTCTCATGAGCCGATTTGAGGCTTATATGGATAGTGCCTCAAAGGCCAGTGCAGAACAGGGTGAAAAGGCCCGCCCAGGTGCTGCAGTGACCAGGCCCAGAAGGCTCTGACAGGCACCCAGGGCAGCCGCGCTCTAAGCAGGGAGGGACCTCAGCACACGGGCTGACTGTTGCATCCCAGCTGTGGCAGCGCTTAGGGTGCTGCTGACCTCAGGGCGCAGGTCCTGGCTGAAACCAAGGTCCCCGAACTGCACAAGGCAGCCAGGACCAGTGCTTTCTGGGCCAATCCAAGCTTCTACTGCCTCCGAGTATCTAGACACACAGGCCTGTTAGGATGGAACCAAAGAACATTGCTGTCCAGTTCAGAAAATCTAGTTGTTAGGAGTCCCTGGAACAGGTACCCCAAAGCACCAATGTTCTGGGGGCGTCCACCTGCTGGGGCATACACGGCTGCCCCCGTGTCCCCTGGACAGCTGCCTGCTCTACAGTGAGGCTGCAGGCTTGGCGAGCAGGCCAGTGCTGCCCCCTGTGGACGCTTGTGGAGGACAGCCCCCTGCCCTACCTCTGATCTTCCATCCATTATGGGGCACTGGTAACCACGCTGCATGTGTGTTGACCTTCTGATCACAAGAGTCAGAGTGAGCCACGTTTGAGCCGGGAACACACACACACACACACACACACACACACACACACACACCTGCCGGGGTCGGGATCGGTCCCATTCCAGGAGACACTCTGCCTCAGTTCACTCTGCAGCCAGACTCCCATTCCACACTGTCATCCTTTTCCACAGATGAGGAAACAGGCACGGAGAGGCCTGTGCCTGACGAAGCTGACATCAGGCCTCAGACCTGCAAGTCATCTTCCCAAGTAGACTTTGTCCCGTGTGATGCACAGTAAATTAATGCCCGGAAGAATGACCTGTTGAAGATGTCAGAATGCACTCAGCATTATGACCAGGAGATGCCAAGCGTGGGCTGGCTTTATAAAGAGGGGCCATGTGTCTGATGCACCAGGGCACGGCACCTGCATGGGCCGGCTCTGGTGAGAGAGCCAAAAGCTGTGTCCTATCATGGTGGGGCATGTGGGATTAAAAAGCAGCCTGTTACCTCTCTGGAGAAGGGAGCCTAGGGTCCTTCTGTCTCTTCAGAGGACACAGTTCCAACTGACTGAAGACCTTCCAGTGGGCCCCACCTCCTGGCAGTCCCACTACTTCTCATAGCCCCACTGGGAGAGAGGTAACAGAATGAAAAATGGCAGAGTGAGCCAACAAAGAGGTGGGTGGGTGAGGAGGTGAGGGGGTGTGCAGGGCTGAGGAAGGGATGGAGGAAAGAAGGAAGGAAGGGAGGCAAGGAGGGGGAAGAAGAAACACAAGGAAGGAAGGAAGAGAGAGAGAGAGGAAGGGAGGAAGAGAGAGAGAGAGGGAGGAAGAAAGAGAGGGAAGGAGGGAGGGAGGGAGGCTGACTTGAAGGAGGAGACACACATGAGCACATTAGCCAGCCAGGTGGGCTCCTGGCTGTCCCCACAGAGGTCCTCAGTGCCACCGCCTGAGAGGGATCGAAGGCAGACGGGCTGGGTGTCCAGTGAGCCTGCTTGAGGGAGGGAGCATGGGGCCCCTCACACCGGTGCCCCAGAGCGTGGCAGGTGACTTATTCTGCTTGTTGTGATAGGTGGCCTGTGAGCCTTAGAGGCTGCCTGGTGTGCTGCCAAGGCCAACCCCACTCTTCTGCATACCCCAGGTCCTGATTGTTCACGCCTCTCCTGGCTTTCCCACTGCAGCTGGGTCTGCACTCCTTGTGGAGGATGACCTGCCCACATCAGGCCTGGTAAGCCAGTGCCACGGCAAACAGAACACCAAGCGCCAAAAGGACAGCCCGGGTCTGGAGTCAAATTCATTTACACCCACGAGACGGATACTGATGGGGATAATCCTCAAACCGTCAGGCCCAGTTCCCTGGCTGCCTCCCTCTCCCCTGTGTGTGCCCTGCAGGCAGTCCTTGCATCTCCTCAGGGAAGGGTCCCACATTTTCTCCACCTCCACTCCAGCAATCCTAGCCAGCCCCAAGTGGGCCCAGCCAGGAGCCGTTCTGGGATTTATGGCCCAGCTCCTAGTTGTCATGTTAACTGATGTCACTTCCACGTGGCAGGTGGTCCAGTGCAGCCCTCTGAGGCCTGCCCTCACAGCTGTTTGACCTAGGCACTCATACAACCTCTCTGTTCTGGTTTTTCTGTAGAATGTAGGGGCAATGGAGGTATTTTCTGAGCACCTTCTCCCTCCCCATGGAGTTGTCCTTTCTGCTGTGCCCTGGGCTGGAAGCACCAAAGAGGAGGCCCCAGCTGCCTAAGTCAAGTCTGCACCCCACACTGGGCCCACCTCACATCAGCACCCACCTCAGGTGGGTGGAAGGGTAGCACCCTGGCTGGGGCTCCCCCTCTTCCATCTAGCACACTTCTGGGGTGGGGCGGGTCTCCCAGACCTCCCCAGCCACAGCAATAAATTCCCAGTTGGGACTGGTGGGGCAGACTGCTTCAGTGGAACAGGAAGCCCTTGAGCATGGCCAGCTACAGGGAAGAGTCCAGCGTCTGTCTGGGGATCAGCGGTCGAGGCTGAGACTGCCATCCCGTCGGATCTGCTCACAGCATATGTGTCATCTATTTGTCTGAAGCACATGCTCAGAGCCCACGCTGCTCAGGCAGGCAGTGCCAGCAGGGTCCTGGGGAGACCCAGAGGCACACAGCACACATCTGGCTCCTGGTGCTGGCCACCACCTCATCTGGGCTTGCAGGGAGAGCAGCCGAGCCAACAAAGAAGAGTTCTGGCTCTGAGCCTGCCTAGAGGTCAGAGGGGCTCAGGTGGCTGTCCCTCATGTCAACCTCAAGGTCAGAGGTGGGAGCTGGGGTCATGGGAAGCCCTTGATGGTACCTCTTGGGCCATGGCTGATGTGGACAGGAGCTCTCCTCCAGCCAAGGGCGGCAGCCCAGTGTTCCCCACTTCTTACCCGGAGGTGAACCAGAAAAGTCAGGTGCGGAATGACGTGTTCCCCAAAGTGTCGCTGAGCGGTGGTGCTTGGTTGTTGACAGGCTTTGGGGAAGTGCCGGGATCATGAGAGCTTGACTTTCCTAGGTGCACTGAGCTACTGGCGAGACTGAAATTTGACAGCAGGGCTGGGGTAATGGAAACGGGAGCTGAGGGTGGGGCCGGGGAGATGGCTCAGTAGAATAAGCGCTTCCCTGGCAAGTGCAAGGGCCTGAGTTCAATTCCCGGTTCCGCAAATAAATAAACATAAATAAATAAATAAAGAGGCGGGCTGTGGGGGGTGATCTGGGGTCCAACGCTGATCCCTGCCCCTTCCTTTGGTGCTTCTTGCCACAGGGCTCTTACCTATGTCCCCAGCCTGGTCAGCGCTCACTAAAGAAACAGATCCAATGCAAGATTTATGAGGATCTGCAAGATCGGCCGCCCACAGAGTCAGGTGTGCAAGAGCGCAGAACAGCTGCCTGCAAGCTGGAGATCTGAGGGGTCCTACTGAAGGCCACAAGCTTGCTGCAGTGTCCTGTGTGAGTCCACAGTAGGAGGCTGAAGGGCCTGCTGTGGAGGGCTGAAGGGTCTGAGTTGGAAGCCAG